ATTGTGCGGTTTGTTAACCTTTTCACGTAAAGTCATATTCTGCACATTCATTTACGTATATGTCGTTTTCATTCCTTTGCTCTAGCCATATGGGATTCTTTGCATTGCTCTTGGTAACGAGATAAAAATTATGAGAAAAATATTCATAACAAGCACTTTGGTAAATACCTGTGACCGAGTATAATCCGAGTATAAAAAAAAAGCATTATGTATCACGTACTAATTTACGGAAGCTCCGGTTTAAACCTCGTTAGACGCTAGCTGGTTAATGAATCCTCGCGGTTTTTATTCGCGAGGCTTTCAACTATAATGTGATCCTATACTATAACAAATTTATGACGAGAAAAGTTTGTCGGTAAGCTTTTTGTTAAAAAAAAAATAAATAAGAAATAGAAAGAACTATTTATCTTTTAATGTGTTTTTAAAATGTTAAATGCATACATTTCTAAGCTTTATAACAACTTTAAACGAATTTAAAGACAAAATTCATTTTACAAAATATTATGGTGAGAATAGCATTCGTTTTACAAATTAAAAAATTACAAATATTTTTACAAATTAAAAAACGTTTTCACAATGCTTCTGTAAAACTTCAACAGATGTAATGTTTGGAGCGAATATTGAACGCTAATTTCTTGACAAACAACTACTTCCGGTAATGCTAAAAGTTTTCCGGACATTCGTCGAAAGAGATGATGCAACGGATGAAAGTTTCGAAAAATAGTCGATATAAAGGTATGTTACAGCGTTAGTACTCTCGCACAAAGGAAGCAGGCGCACGTTTGATGTTCCGATATATTGGCCACGCGAGCACACGTTTAAATATTCCACCGCAGCGTAGCGTTCCCGTAACATTGATCAACAACTCGGGACTTGTAGGAGAAAGAGAGAAACGCGTTTATTGGCTCTTTCCAGAGAGAAGTTTTACGATGTCTAAAATTTACATCAAACACTCGCGTTCCGATCTATCACTTTATTTAAAAATTTATTTAGAAAAAATGTTGAAAAATTCTTCAATTGACGTTTACTCAAAGCTTGACAACATTCTTATGGCGAATTATGTTTCTTTATTTCTGACATCTTCTCACGAAGCCTTTTTTAATATACATATTTAACACATATTTAGACACATTGAGCATTTCTGAATTATTGCGAAGCATTATTATTCACGATGTATTATTCGCCAATGTCATTAACGTTTTCATAACGGTAGTTAATATTTTAACACGACAGTTACGAATTACGTTAACAGTTACAATCTCACAGATTCTTCTCCATTCTTGTAAATGACTTTTTGCTTCAAACGCAAATGCCATTCGCTGATGGAAATTCTGATCTCATTAAACTTTCATAAAATCGTTATTACCGCTCACTTCCGTGAGGTACAACGATATTCGATTTTGCCATTATCTCTCGCTGTGGTGCCTCCGCTAAGTTGCACGTTGAAAAATGTTGTTTTTAAATCGTTCGTCGGGAAGCAAGTCGTGACAAATTGCTGTGCTCGCCACTAGGAGCAACATTATCTCGAGAGTTCGCGTGCTGAGTCCGGACGCAAAAACGTTCATGTTTTAATGACAACGGTACGATGTCGTTCGCCGCTCAGTTATCAGATATGAATTATGGTATTTACAAATGTACATAAAATTTGGCGGGAATTTGGCTTCAATAATGGTAATATATTCAGTTATGAAATTGAGAGAAAGAGATTGTTTTTAATTATACTAATTCAAACATGTATATGCAGTGTGTGCTTAATGTCTTTCAATCTTTGCATATTTGAAAATAATTAAGCTTCATGTAATATATAATCTATTGAAATACGAGCCTACGGTGTATAGGACCATCGCATCGTGACTAACGTATCACTGCTCATTAACGTTAAATGTTATCATTATAACGCAATAATTCTAAAGACCCGTAGTTGAGCCAAATATCATGACAGCAAGGTCCACAAAATGTATTAGCATTGCATGCACCTGATGCAAAATAATAGGAAGCGACCCAAAATAAAGGCTACGAGATTACTCCTTGTATTAACGATTAATTTTGTCTTATGTTAATGAACTTTAATATGTTATGTCCTCATAATTATATGCTTAAAATCGTATTTTTGCAAAACTGTATAATCAACAATTTTACAATTTTCTTGCAACAAACATTAGAATGATTACTGTATGTAAATTTTTAAATAATTCTTGAAATATATTCATCATTTTGAAGCGATTCTTTTTATATATACTAATGAACGGTTCTTACAGCTTCAAATATTGTTCGAAGTGATGCTAATATCTCGCGTGACAATTGCATTGTCGTAATTTTACGAAACATTCTACATGTGCGGAGAACGAACTGTGTATCGGAGGTAATAATAATTACAGACTGCAGTGTCCGCGACTCTCTCAACGGGAAATTCAGCATGCAATATTAATTAACGGCTTATAAAGACCAATCGATTTGAAGATTATCCGTGCATATCGCGAACATGCTGAATCAATTCCGGTTTAGCTATTTGTAATCTAGCCACTCTCCACGTGGTATATCATACGAATATATTATGAAATAGTGCATATATGTATAAATGTGCGGTGTTAAATTTAGCGCGAGGAATACTTTTCGATACAATTACATCTATTAATTATGCATCAATATAATACGTGATTTACATACAATTATACATACAGATTTATTATTACAGGATTTATACTAAGTTTTATCCCGAACTGGATTATGTCCCGAATTGTAAAATATTTATATTAGATATTTTTTTATCTTTTCCTGTTGCTTTGAATGTTTATTTTTTTTTAGTGCAAACGTATGCAGTTGTATCTTTATAGATTTCTGTTAAATTATTCTGCAAGCCACGTTACATCTGCGACGCGCAATATAGAGATGGATATCATTTATTTTTAGACGTTAATGGCAAGTAAAAAATTTCTATTAAATAAGAAAAATATATCTAAGCGATATATTGATAAATATGCTATATTGAGAAAAATGAAGAATCGAAGGTTTTTTTGATAAAATTGAATATATTCGTTTTCATTTACTGATGATTTTTGACGAGCTTCCGGGGATTTCCACGTCTATAAGCCGCTTAAATCTCTCTTCGGGGGGAAGTATCAATAAAACCGATTACAACCATCGTGAATATCAACGAGTCGGTGCCAGCTGGTAGAACGCAAGCTCACGGTGCAGTACCACACGTTTACCGACAGCTATTAACCTAGGTCAAGATTAAATATGAGGGCCAGATAGAAAATTTGTATTCCGCATAGTAGAAATAGCTCACGTTGCTGAGATGTGTTAGCCATTGAATAATCCAACGACTTTAATTTTTCGTGCGGCGTGTCATTTTCTTTACAGCGTGACTTTTGTTATCTAGCACGGAAGTATTATGCTGTATACAGCGACTACTTGTTTCTTTTGAATTACAAATGATTCTACATATTGCCTCGAGCTTGTTAACTTGTAAAGCAATATCTTCGCGAAAATTTCATGCATTGAAAAGTAAACTAGAATCATAAATCTTCATAAAATTGTACTTTTTTCATATTCGTGTTATTGTCGTCAAATAAATTGTTTTAATTAACACTAGAAGAAGTATGCAAGAATAAGTATATATATTCGCATATAAATAGTTTTTTTTAGACATGATATTTTATAAAGTCCTATATTGTTGATCGTTGAAAAGCGTGCAGAGAGAAAATTTAAAATATATTATAAATTACACCAAAAAATTAATTTTTAATATTAAACTATTTTTGTAGTTTATATTGACAACAATAAAACGCGCATAGAAGTCAGCGTACGATACATCTTGTAATTTATCGTATGCTGGCGTTTCTGGCGAATTTCTGCGGAATAGTCGGTACCTCGCGAAAAGCTCGATGGTTCTCCGATTTGGAAATTTACCGACAGTTGGTCGGAAACTTATCAGTAGTTGAATATTTCTCTTCAAAGTTGTAAAACATTAGCCTACTGATGTTTAATACTGTCTTATTTATCCACTAATATGTAAAATTTATGTTTAAATGTAAAATAGCAATCATAACTAGTAATACATCTGTCTATGAAAATTTTTGATGAAAGAGAAAAATATCGAACTAATGAAAGTATATTTTTTGTTGCAAATTTTCAAAATTATAATTTTTTTAATAACAATATATTTCTTTTGATATAAAAAAAATAAGTAAAATAAAGTGTGAACAAAATAATTATCAACATATATAATGATCAATTATTCGTGCATATTAACAATTGGAAAGTAAGTAATTTTCCTATATTACGTAAATGTAAAAAGAGCAACAATATCATATTCTTGACTCTTTATATGCTTATATACTATATGCTTTTCGCTTCGAGTAAATCCAATCATTGCGCTGCGCCAAGGTGATAAGGGAATAAGTCAATACAAGTTCGTTCCACTAGAAATTATGTGACGGTGGTTTCGCTAGTGTAATTTTCCTGCTTTTATTGGAAATTTTTCCGGAGATATTACAGGCCTACCCCCATGGTGCTTTCAATGGTAATAGCATATCGGAAATTTTCTTAAGAGAAATATGCGTTATTCATATTTAGTTTTGTTCGAAAAAAGAAAAGTTAAATTTCAAGCTTATGTCTAATTTTAGTCTGAAATATGAGAGAATAAAGTCATAAAAATGAAACTGATAAGAATGAAAGAAAGCAATATTAAGATGTAAACAGAGAAAATGATGAATAATATTATAGAAAGAAGAGAAGAGTGTTTATCCAATTCATAAATCGTATGTCAGATTTATCATATGTCCCAAATCATTTGTTATAGAACAGAATCAGATATCTCTCTCTCTCTTTCTCTCTGTCTGTCTCTGGGATTTAAGTTTTTTTAATTTAGAATTCCGCAATGCCGTCATACCGTTTGAGATAAAGATTCGTTGTATGAAATATATGGTGAAATGTATACAAAAATATACATGTGTATAGAAATACATGATCATTATATTTCATTATGGCGTACATACCTTTAATGAAATCCACCGCCATCTCGAGACCGTACGTGTCCTTGTCGCAGTCATCGAGTATGTGTGCTCCAATCTTGACGCCTGGCACGATCTCCCGATCATTGAGAGTGTCTAGCGTATACAGCATCGCCTCTAGTGCTTGAACTCCACCCTGAGGCATTACACGACCACATGTAATTGTATCCTCCCTTTCGTGCACCATCATCAGTCCACCGAGAACGAGATCACCCTCCACTACCGCGCTATGCTTCACAGGCCACTGATCTGAGAGTACGTCACCGGTTGAGGAATCAATGACATTCTCTCTGGTGATGTTCTCGAAGACATCTTGAGAGAGATCACTGGTCCTTTGAGGAAATGGGTCAATGGTCCAAACGGATTCATTACCATACGCTCCATGTTCCACTTGCGATTTAATGAGTTCGGTCGAAGACGCGTCGAAAACGTTTCTATTCACGGCGCCGGATACTCGCACATTTTCCTTCGTAGTCGAAAGAACCTCTCTCGGAATAATGGAATTGTCTATTTTCGTTATCTTCTGTCTCGATCGGTCAAGCAACTTGATTAGAAGCGCCGGTGTTTCCACCAAACTGGCATTCGATGTTATCGGAATATTTATCAACGGTATCTCTAATGAGTCGGGATCTGTTTTTGCGAGAGTTTCCGTGTATCTCTTGTCGTGATCGCTCATTATCGGGATTGATCGCCACTCTTTCTGGTATTGCCCGTATCCCGAAGACGGCAGTGTTTCTACGGATGTAACAGCTTCCTCCGCGCTAGTTGATATTTGATGATCTATCTTATTTGTTTGAGTTGTCGAGATAGATGGATGCGCGGTAAATTCCATCAGCGAGTTTGATGTTGTTGCCCCCGTCGTGTCGAGTGTCTTCCACGTCTTACTATCGATTAACTCGGTCGATGTCGGAATCCCCGGAGTATTCCGATCTTCGTGGCGTTTGTATCTTCGATACTTTGAGTTATGGACACCTCTGCTTCGTGAATAAAATCCAGATCCTTCATGCATGTCACAATGATTTCCACTTCGTTTCGTCGTAACTCTGACGTTTTCTAATCCGGGCTCATCCGTAAGTTCGCTCGATGACTGCACACGCCCATTAATCTTCCGCATCCCGGTCGAATTATCGCTGACATTCGCTGCAGCGAAAGAGATAGATACGCCCTCGATCGAGGTTCTAGGAGGTTTTCCATCGAGTTCAGATCTTCTATCAGTTGTCTCAGCGATGCGTGGAGGCCGTGTACTATCGATCGCATCAAATTTCCGCAAGTATTTCGGGCGACCGTGGGCTTTCTGGCGGAGAAGATTGTCGAATTTTGCGATCCCAGATGGGCCGGAGACATTCCAGAGGCCGATTCGAAACGCGCCACGAACTTCGGCCTCGAAGTCAGTTGTCTGCGGACGTTCGCAGTCCGCGTCTGTTTCGACGTGTCGTACGTGCATCGGATTCCTTTTCTGCGTGACTGAAATACGCTCTGATGTCTGATAATCTAATTTCGATTCGTCGAAACTTCTGGCAGATAAATTAGTTGATAACAAACCACGGTCAACTTCGAGCGTGTTGTGCGTAGTGTAATTTGCAGCAGCAGCGAGCTCCTTTTCTTTCACTTTTTTTATCTTCAGCTCGTCAAAATTCGTCGCGTTTATTTTTTTATTTATTTTCGTGTCGCTATTGCTTATCGAAGAATGATATTGACGTTGCAAATTGAATGTATCGCTTGCAACTTTTAATATGTTATTTTTTTTATATGGAAAAGGGCGTCTCGTAAAACCGGCTCTTTTTTTAGTCAGATGATTATCCAGCGAATTTGATGCGTGAAAAATGAACGAGTCGATGATATTGCTGTTCCCCTTTTTATTCGCGTATATATCTGCATCTATTTTAAACCCTATCTTTGAATATTCGTCGCGTTTATATAGTTCAGCTGATAGAAACCCATCTGCTTTATACGATCTCGAATACTCGTCCCTCGAAGGGTGATAGGGACTTACGGCATTTTCTTTATCATCAATTTCATTTGCTTTCGAGATTTTGGAATTAACGATTAACGTAGTCCAGGCAACAGCCACGGAACGCTCGTATGGCGAATCCTTCGTGATTGTGTTATCTACAATACTTGTAACATTTCCACGACTCTGATTTTCTTTTGAGTTCGAGTAGTTTGAAAAAGTTTGCCGCAGACTTTGAGATTTGTTATTAGTTTCGACGTAAATCAATTTATTTGACTTGCTTTTTGTTAACTTGAAACTTTGATGGGAATCTCCTTCATTCTTATTACGTTTGTACGTTTTATTGGCGTGCTTAGACTCGATATCTTCAGTTTCGAATTGTGAGATATCGGAATTTTTTAACTTTTGTATAGAACTGTCTTTCTCGCTGCGTGAACTCTTTGTAAGTTTGTCAGGGAAGAATGTGGTCATTCCGTTTTCTCCGTTAAAGATTCGATCCCTCCCGTGCTTTTTCCACCGTCCGTCTTTCTTGTCAAACGCTTGAGTATCGCGTCTTATCGTAGCTGCCTTTTTACGATCGTTGAAGAGTACGTAGAACGTTTTTTCTTTACATCGTCTATCTCTCGAGGTACTTTTCAATTCCTGGAACATCGATGGTAATGGACGTAAGCCAGGCACGAATTTGAGATAATTTCTTGAATTTTTTAACTTTTCCATAACAATAACTTTTGACAACCACATGTTTTCCATTGCTCTTTTTGTAATCAGTCGCGCACTTTTGTCGTCACTGTCTTTCAAATACTTTGTCGTAGCCATTGCATTTGACAACGCGATGTGCTTTTCATAGCCACTGAATTGTGAATCGCGATTTTCCGTATTTTTGAATTCTAAAGAAACTGGTTTTATGTACACTGATGAACGACCATTTGATTTAAAATTCATTTTTGCATATTGTAACCTAGAATCATCGATAACTTTTTTGTTGAAAACGGAATATCTTGCTTCTTGAGAAACTTTATGAGAAGTGTGTTCATTGTTGCTTTGTGAATTACTCGGAATCCATTCACCAGCTAAGCCACTATTCGAAACCAGGAATATCGTCCATGTGGCCAGAATGGCCATCCAACCAAAGTTTCGCCACATCACATCACCTCTTCGTCGCATTAATCATTGCCAATTTCTGGAAAAAGCAAGATATTTTGTTAATTACTATTGTTCATTTATATTTTTGAATTGATTTATTTGAAAAAAATTATATGGTCAATATTCAATTATATATTTATTTTTTTAAGTTATATAGTTTATATTTAATAATATACATACAGTATAATTCTAAATAAATGCAAAAAATTTCAGAAGATGATTTTTTTGCCGAAAATTAAGCAAAGTCTTTTATATAAATATATATTTTTATATTTCTCTCTAAGAATCTTACTTTTCCAATAGGAAAGATGAAAATTAGATTTTTATTTCTTTTTCGCAAACTTTGGATAAGTTAAAAGAATGAAATTTACATTCTTAATAAAAGGAGTATTTATTTAATAAATTTTTAATTTATTTTTAATTTTAATATATTTTTAATTTAATTTATTTTTCCTTCTATTGGGAGAAGAATTTTCCTCTCTCCTAGCATTATAAAAGATGAAATTAACACCATGCGTGTAAAAATATATTTTATTTTTTTACTTCGATTATTGATTTTATGAAAAATAAAAAATTAAAAAGTTTCTAAAAGAATTAAGTTATTTTAAATTACGCATTTTTAGATGGTCACATTTCGACCGATTAAATAGTTTTAATAAAAAATAAGTGTTGAATAAGTGTTGCTAGTTTTATTCCCTTTGTATTCTTTTTCAAAAATATCCATCGAATGTTTTATTTTGTCCAAAATTTGAGAAGAAAATAAAATAAAATCCTAATTTCCACTTTTCCTTGAGGAAGAGTGTAATTAGGAGGGATATAAATAAGATAACAGACCATGTTAAGTAAAATAGAACATACAAAAAATTTTTTGGCAAAGCTAAATGAAACAAGAACAGCGTAAATTTGCATTTAGCATTAGGTTTAGTAATTGAATAGTCAACACGGGTATGTTGCGCACATGTTCAACTTAGTAAAACAGGCAATCTTTGTCGTTTGTATCGTTACGATATTTGTAATTTGATTTGAATTCGGTGTTCGGACAGATCCACAACTATGCGCTACTATTGCCTGCGGACGATGTGGTTCTCTAATTTCGATGCATTCCGCTGTGCCGTTCAGTTAAAAGGGCTATGCGGATGGGACCCCGCATCGACCGATGCTAACGAGTCAGTTGCAATTATCTCGCTAAATCACTTTGAGTCTCATTTTAATCAAGATGAAAATCTCCTTGGCTCTTCCTTACTTTTGAGCTACGAGCCCCTTTGCAATTAAGGAATCCGATTAAGATTCAAAGTTACTTACACCGTTACACGATATGATATTATTAACGTGTGCAAGATATTCACAGAATTAAACGTTCGAATGCAGACTATATTCTACATTTCGTTTTCCTTTCATGATATTATGTTATAAATTAAATACGTATGTTTGCCGATGAGAACATTTCGAATTTTAGCTTAAGGAGTAAAGTAAAGAACGTTATATGTAAAATTTATGTCAGATAAACAATGTTCGTCATGATTCTCGACTTAAACAGAAATCAGATTGTACATGTTGTATGTATAAGAAGATGCGCAACTATCTCTGGTTTAGGTTCTAAACTTAAGCTTAGCCATTTAATACAAATATTTACAAATGGAAATTGATTTAAATCCATTGTTATGTTAATAGAGTATTAATAGAGTGCAAGACAGGATGCATTTTATGCATAATTTACATTGTATTTTTCGGTTACATATTTTATATAATATATAATCGAAAATTTGAAACTTTTTATTTATTGTGTAAGAATTAAAAATAGAAGTTTTTAAAATAGTCTAATATTACTTTTCTAACTTGATAAAATACTACAAGTATATGATATGAAATGATACGCTTTTGCAAGAGCTTGCAGTTAAACGTGTCACATAAAGTGTAACTACGATCGTCTTTATATTGCACGTTCCCGCGTCGCTGAAAGAGCAATCCCATTTGTTCGTGCACCAAATGACACAATAAGAAATAAAGCAATATATTAGAAAACTGTGTAATATTTATTTCAAATTTTTTACAATAAAATTAAAAAGTTTGCAATATAAAAAATAAATAATTAATTACTCTACTATACAAGTATTTAATATATAAAATATTTAATATATAAATAATATTTTGAGATGGATATTTTATCGTAAATAAACATAATAAACATAAATAAATTATAATAATTTTTTTATATATAAATATTTATATCATAAATTATTTATTATTAGCGGCGATACAATATTGTTAATTATGATAAAAAAAGAAAGAAAACAGTAGAGATATTCAGAAATTTGTTGGATGAAGAGTTAAAGGAAAACTTTTCAAGCGATTCTTTTATTCAAACAAAATAGTAAATAAGTTTCTTAGCGTACCGAGAAAAATAACATGTCTTTCTTTTGTGGGAGCACCTACAAAGTTTAATCGAAACTCTGTGTTGCCTTTGAAAGGCTTTCCTCGTTAACGGCATGTTCTGGCTGATAATTGTAGCCGCTAGTACGATAATATCAGGCCTGGTTTCGGATACTTTCATGAGAGGCACTATGAGAGAGTTTTAGATTGATGAAAGGGAAATATACGGTTTTGCGACGCCGAATAGGATCGAATCGAGTAGTACAAAGTAAAAAATGGAAAACGAATAATTCTTAATTGATTACTAAATACCAGTGTTGTCTATCTGTTGTGTATCAGAAATTAATAGGTTTTTATTTTTAAATATATAAAACTTTATATGCAAGTTTTATAGACTAATGGAGTGCAAAATTCTCTCTCTTTCTTTTTAATGTTTTAAAATTTAAAATATTATTCTAAAAAGAATAAAAAGTTTATTTAAAAGAGAATTCATTTATAAAATTATGTTTTTATTTCTGCAAATATTAAGTAGTTAAGATAAACAAATTATTTAATATTCAGTTATAAAGTTTGTTAAAAAATGCTTGTTAATTTAACACTTATATTGTGAATTACTATTTATTACACATATATGTTTATTTCTTTCTTTTGCATCATCATTTTGATTTATTGTTATCCGATATTTATCGTTAGGATGAAAGAACTTCGATAAACTTTGAAGACGAAAGGCACGTATTTTTATCTGTCTGTCTTAGGGAATGCGTTAGGGAAATATCTGTCTGTTAGGGAATGCGTTGCGTCTCGTAATCCGCTTTTATATGTCCGCTGAGGCAGATGGTCGATATACTTGTCTGCCTTATGTCTTATTTCAATCCAGCTGATCTACATCAATTTCAAAATTATCCAAGTTTTCCCGTCAAACTAGAGATTCACAATAATAAAGATAGAGCGCGTCTCCAAAACGACCAAATTGCTGATGTCTGCGGTCTCTACGCCGCTTTAATTATAACCAGGTGAGCTTGCAACTCGAGTAAACGAATCTCTATCGTCCTCTCGTTAGCTCTTTCATTATGGTTCCGATGTCACTTGCAATTTCCAACGGAAATGCGGTAATCGGCTTCTATAATTTTGCCGGAAACCGCCGTATGAGCTATTGTATATCAAACGTGATAGCTTAATTATTTTGCTACTAAAATACTTATCGACGAATGTCGCTTTATACCTGTCTAGCGTTATATCGCAGGAAAAATCCAGTTGAGAAACGTGGGGACCAATTTGTATGGAAATATGCGCCGCTATTCGTTTCCATAATTTTGCCGTGAATTTACGTTTGATTCGTTACCATACGCTCTTGTTGCGCCTGCAACGACGCAAAAAAGGGAAAAGGAAGAAATGCATCCTCTGGGACAACTGGATTTGCGAATCTTTGCACGTTCGAGTTCGCATAGCAGCGTAGAGCTATTATAAACGAAGTGGGGCGTAAAGACATGCGGAATTAAAGGAACGTTAATGACGCTCAACGATCCAAATGACGAAGAAGATATAAAAAGTTACGCCGAAAATAGTTACAAGACACTATCAGAAGACACGCTATTGTTTAAGAAAATATTGAATTTAATTTTTGAATAATTTTTACGGAGCACAATTATTGTTATCAATGTTTCCTTTCCCATTATATTATTTTTTCAATATTGGTAGAAAATATTTACTCTATTTCTCCCAGGATTATCGAGCTTCATCGTTAAACTTGCGAAATAGTGAAACAACGGTACTGTTTTTAATCACTGGTGTGTCGTTTTCTGATCTATATAGTGTCATCTACCTGTTGTTATACTTTTGTTTGTTTTTCTTTCGTAGTTGATTAAAAACGGCTTCGTTCTCTCTGAAGATGAATGCCGCGTAACTTTGGAGAAGGCAAAGTAATAATGACAGTAACACCTTTTGTAATTTCGTCGTCCGCGTTTGTTAATAACACTATAAAATTTTCTACGTTTCTCGTTTCTCTTTTATTTACGTTTTCTTTTATTTATGTTTTAATCAAGTACAACTAAATTATTAATAGAATCAAATTTGTAATAAAAAGTTTGTTAGCATTATAATTAACATACTAATTAAATATGATACAAGCACATTCTAACTAAATACGATACATACATAACATTGTTTTATTTTTTGTTGTTTATTGTTTAGTGAAAAAATTATTAATATCGCATCATTGCAATAACTATTTGTTTTAATTAATTAAATACTATCTGTAAAATATGTTTATTGTATTTTTTATTTGAATGATTATTGAGTAAAGTAGGAAAAAAGGCACACAAAATGTTAAGTATTTTTTTAAGAATTACAATAGATCGATATCTATTGCACTGTTACTTTTTATCCCTATTGTTCTTTCTGATAATCCACCATTGTCCTACATTTTCATTATAGCTAAACCTCGAATATAGCAACAATGTGATAAAAGCATCGTGAAATTTTAATGTTTCATTTTCATATAGTGTATTATGTTGCACTAATATAAGCTAAATAACTAATTAACTATTATAATTAATTTATTAATGTAAAATTAATTAGTGTTTTTTTTTCATATGCAATAAAGGATGCTCATTTTGAAATCAATATATTGATATTTGGTTTTAGTCATATATTATCAAAAAGAAATATTTGCAAAAGTTTATGAATTTTCACTTTTCTAAAAGAAAAATACGTTTTATTCTTTTGAATAATACAGCTAAGGCATTCCGATATTCATTGCCAGTATTGAAAATCTATAATCTATCTATGTGACGCGAACTATATATTTTCAGTACTGGAAGTAAATATCGAAACGCAGCCTATATAAAAGTAAAGAAAAATTGATTTAATGAAAAATTGATATGTGTCCAATTTTAATATATTAATTAGAGAAGATGCAATCAAAAAATATAAATTTATTTAAATACGACGTGTATATAATCAGTTTTTATTTTTGTCATTTATAAAAAAATTATAAGATTGATTATAACTATTATAATAATATTTCAAATACAATTTGTATATTTATATTTATGATACTTGTTTTTTATGCAATTGCTGTGATTAGCAATTATATTTTAATTGTAAACAAACTTTAGATCATGTAATCTTTCGAGTTCCTAAAGCTGAACGTTAAAGCAAGGAAATAGGTGCGGAAATTGTCTCATAAATTTCTCTAAATAATTAATACAAAGTCGAGATCACGGGATGTGATAGCAAGCATTCGCTAGGTCAGATTCAAAATAGAATAGGAAATGTAAAGGAAATGGCATCAAACAAAAATTAAGAGAAAGAACGTTATCAATTTTATATCAATATAGAAATAAATTTGTTAGCAAATTGCAATTATTAAATATTATTAATACGTTGAAACTTATACACGTTGTGCCACTCTTCTTGTTTCAGATTTACATATTTAAAATTTATACGATTAGATATTTCTATCTCGTGTTTTGACGAAACCAGAAAGTTAGGAAAGAAAATAACTAGAGAGAAGTAGGTGTTGGAACGAGGAAGTCTGTGAATTTTAACAAGCTTCGTTCTCCTGGATACGGCGTGCGGTCGCGCTTACCAAGTTTTTCTTTATAACTTTCAAGAATTTTGGCATAAGAAAACATAAATTTATAAAGAGTCGCAGATTTATTGTTGCCAAAATTTAATAAAAGAGATGATTATTGTGATTAATAATAATGAATAATAGATAATAATCTTTATATTTTATTAATAACAATTTGAATAAACTTTTTTAACGAATCGAGAATAAATTTTTTAAATTTGATTATTATAAGTCGAAACTAATTATAAATATTTTTCTGATAAATATATTAATTTTACAGGAAAATTAAACAAAATAAAATCTCACTATGTTGACTTTATTCTCGCCAATAAATTGAATTGAATTTCGGGTAATATTTGTTCAAGATCAAGTACTATTAGTTATTGTGAATGGAAGGATATAAATTTATTTCAATCTACCATATATTTCTTTTTTAGTTATATGTTTCGTCCGATTTTAAATAAATAATATTTTTCATTTATTTTTAAAATTTTGAATCTTCTTAAAATAATATCGTAATAAAAAATAAAAAGACTTTTGCTAATTATAAGTTACTATACGAAATTATCAAGAAAACATTGAATTTCATATTTCTGATGAGTTTCTAGTTTAATCATGATACTTTTAATCATGATATATAGAAGGTGATCAATGACCATTGATCAAATTCTATTTATAAAGCTACAGAGCTAATTTTAACTTTCGTTGTAATAAGCAATTCTCATGTTTCTACCGCTTGAGTAGCAATTTCCATCATTTAAGATCGACGGTAATCCATCAACGATTGTGCGTATTATAGGGGACCGTTATTGGATTTTAGACGATATCCCTCTACTATTTCCAGCGAACAATCATTGTACTTTGAAAATGTTGTAATTACCTCTAAAGTTTGTTGATGTCGACTTTGTTACGGAACTCGCATATTGTCCGTGAGTTGTCGATAAATCAAAAGTTTGTTGAGAAATTAGTCGCATTATATTCTTTGCGAATTTACATGTTACATGAAATTGTAATTTATTTACAATTTGAATAATTAAATGTATTATTAAAAGAAAGATAAAGTGAAATTAACATTAATTAAATTTCATTATGATAAGCATGTTTTTTATCAAGGTCGCAGCATTATTCTTTGGTATCATTTTATAATATATTTGATTTTAGAAAGTCACTCAACATAAAACTATTACTAAAATCACTCAACATAAAACTATTACTCTGCGTATTTTTAATTGTCCGTCCGAATTATACAATTATGAAAGTACATAAAGTAGAGTACCCTTTGCGGCAATTTACGTGACTTGAGATTACGTGCGTCCGGTCGCTGTCGTAGAGCACATGGCGGTAAGTGCTTCTATGTGCCGTCGTTAAATTTTTTATATCCATGAATCCGTGAGAGTTGATAAATTGTGTTATGTTACGAAATAGTCGTTTTTCCCCCGAGGAAGTAAATATCGCGCTTCGAGAGACACATAGAAGTCCATAGTGAACGATTAATACAAACGCAAGAAGAGAAATTTTACTCGGTAGTCAGATGCTCTCTGTTGCTTTACTGCAAGCGATACGTCTTCCTGAATTGTGTGACTAGAGGAGAAGCGCTAAATTGCTTTCACTGGAAAAACGTGATAAAGATGTTGATGTTGATTTTGCGTGAAGGCAAGAAGCGGGTAAGCACCTCTTTTCTTTCGAGGAAATGGAAAGATCGATTGATATCGAAAGTAATATCTCGATCAATTATGAAACATATTTATTACTTATATTTGTACTTATATTTGTACTATTTGTTATTACTTATATTATTACTTATATTTGTATCGGTCCAACCGATAACGAGATGCTTTATCTAAATCTTCCGTATTTTCGAAATATATTCATGTGCACGTACGTTTGTGCGTCCATTTGAGTGCGCGAGGGGGCTCTTTGGATTTTTCCCGATATGGTTTTTATTAAGGCGCCTCCAGCAACACGGGATACGGCTTTGTAGAATCGTGCCTCGAATACTGGCGGCAATTCGTGCGCAGATATACTATATGATGGTTCTTGGGTATCGATGAAAGTCGATTCTTGGCATAGCAATCGAACAACGAAGATAACACACGAATTATGATCATAGTTATGAGTGGGAGTTATGGCATATTGTTATATTACTATGCGGTCGCATGCCTTATTGTGCCATAGCGTACTAAAGGACCATAAAATAGTTTGAAATATTTGTAATCAATAGTTGGTTAATTGCTGAAAAGTTGACAATATATTACAGGATGTAGCGCATAGAATATACAACAATAAAGTTGTTATGAAAAATCTGCAATTTGAAACTTACATATTTATTTTATTTTTGTTACATATTTATCGCTACTTGAATACCTCTGATTTGTATTTGTTGTTTTATTCAGAGGAATTAATAATGAGTTAATTAATAATGAGCTCAACTTAATTATTTGCATTTTATTTAATTATTTGCATTTTATTTAATTATTTGCATTTTATTTAATTATTTGCATATTTATTAAATAATATTAAATAATACATTTTAATAAGTTGCAATTTTTGAAAAAAGGAATTATATGGTTGAATGCAATAGAGTTGGAAAAACTTATGTAGCCGTAGAAAATTTGTAGAGATTAATGTTTTGTTTATAAAATTTAAAGAAATAAATTAATTAAATTTATGAAAACGAGATACTAAGTATTTAATGTTAATGCTATACTATACGCCTTTTGTCTCAAGATTGTTATAGTTTATCACAAGAAAAAAGCAAATACGGAAAAACATGTACACGTACATATTGCCTATGCATATTTAAATATTATGCATGGCGTGTTTCCACTTTGCTCAAATTTAATAACTTCGTATTCTTGCCAGAGGCTGCAGTCGTAAACGATACGGCCTTTAATAATGTACTTTCGTAAAATATTAAATTTTCAATATTGAGAAATGTATATTCTATGCGTAAAACATGCTATTTAAGATTACTGATTCTTAAAAAAAAAACTGATAAGCTTTACGTATTAGGCACTTATTTAATTGTACGTGATTTTTAATGAATAATGATTTTCCAACGGAGCATAAGATTGGTTGTCACACGTGACCTGGCACTTAATTATATAGCCAGACGTTGGTTACAGAAATTTTCATTACAGTGCTTGTACCAGCGTGGCGGATTTAATCTGCGTCGTGCTGCTGTTCATTTCTCCGAAAATGCCATTTCACCAAATTGCTTTTTTGTTGCAGATAACTCCGTTTCTCGTGAATTATATTTTTTTTCCTATATCATATTAATTGCACATACCGTATTGATTATTCTTTCATATTCTCCGGAAATACAGAACCGATTGCTTTATCTCTGTATTTGCAAAATACGGAAAGATATTGACATTAACCAATTTTATAAAACAGAACATTAGTCTATAGATTTTCTATTGCTAAACAAGTTTTTTCATTTCTATTGCATTCAACACATAATTTTTTTTTTCAAGAATTGCAATTTGTTAAAACGTATTATTTAATAAATATGAATAAAATGGAAATAAGAGCATTTATTAGTTTTTTTGAATAAAATTAATAAATAAAAGTACTCAAATAACAAGAATAAATATGTAACAAAATGATTGCAAGATACGATAAAATGTGTCTTTTTGAATTTGATTAAATTTTGGGTAATCGTAGTCTATGTTGTATTATGTTAACTACATCGTGAAATCAACACAAATTGTAAGTATATTCCTATGAAACGAGCACTAAAGTTAAAAGTAACTCAATAACCAACGACTCTCGTTCCGGAGTGGTAGGTACTTTCGTTATCGGTCGTAATCTTGATGTATGGTCGAGCATTATAGTGAAATTTCTTTTGAAGTGCAAATGCCCTTTGTGCTTTGGTTAGAATTTCTATTCAGAAGCGTCGTGTCATCCACTTTATATGTAGTTTAATGTCTCTCGCTGATGACCGGCGTCAATCTAAGAGCATATAATAGTTACCGAGGTGGGATACTTGTGCAACTAAAAGGTTAAACTTTGGCCATTAATGTCGCTTGCATATCAAAGCTCTCTGTCAGACGTATTATTTGCGTTGCTTTTTATTACTTTAATGTGACTTTAAAAATAGCTAATTTTTAGCCATTTTTATGTTATTATCTAATTACTAGAATCTAATATTCTCAAGATATGATTTTAAACTTTAGAAAGTAATTTTACATTCTGTTAATTTTAAATTAATGTGGGAAAACATAACGTTTAATTATATTATTTACTTACTTTTTTCAAATATCAAATCTTAAATCATATACATATATTCGATGACTGTTAACCACAACGGTACGTTGCAAAATGCGAGTACGATTTTGTTATAAAAATAGTATTTTATTAAATTAATATATCTTGTTAAATTTTGTTATAAAGTTGTAGGATTAATTTGTATATCGACAAGTACTTAATGACCTGTGATTACATCTGTGCGTATATATATATATATATACACACACACACATGTATACATGTATACATGTATAGTGTTCTAATTCTGTATTGAAATTGCTTTCCTCTTCATATATATGTTAATATATGTAATTAAATACATGTTATGTAATAATCTTTGTCTAATAATAAGTATGAGACTAGAACCACTTTATTATAATAAGTTGGCTGTTGCAGCAAGATCACGATGTGATGTGACTCTTAATGAGGAACAGATTTGATTATAGAATCAGTATGGTAAGATTGGAAGCCAGCTAAATTAACTTGTTTAAGATTCCGTCGGCGTACTCCACGGATTCGGTCGTAATTAACCGTAACGCCCCATTACCGCATTTCCTCCCTGCAACGTGAACCATTCCTTTTAAATAAGATTAATATCGGCATATTTTGTTACTAATATGAAACCTTATTCTAAACACGCAAAAACAAATTTTTTATTACAAATAAGACATAGCATTTTTTGTATGCGATAAAAATAGTGACATAAAAATGGTATAATAAAATTAACGTGACATTTTAGACCGATACAAAAATCTATAAAGATTTGAAGTGAAGGTAAATGATATGACCTGCTGTTTATCGTGGGAGACAGGAGGGGCATCAAGTGATGAATGTGAAGCGAAATGACATAAAGTGTGTGCGCAAGGGAAGTGTGTCATAGATGAACGAGAAATTATAAAACAGGGCACGATATCGGCGTAAAAATCATTTGCGCAGTCATATAAGATCATAGATGCAATATCTATGGAATATCCGGTCGATACAAAAAATCGTTATTGCATCTCACTTAAGAGAACTCTACCGGAATGCGGAGATAAACAATCCGTAATTTTCTGCAGTCACGTCCGATAATCCCGCAACTCGTACGTGGTAAATGGATTTCCCAGGAATTAAACAAGGGAGACGATTCGGTCGTATGTACGTCCGGACTGGCACTTGCTTGCACCTGCTCGGCCACCGATAAGATTATTTACAGCATGAACGAAATCGTATTACACGCATCTGTGCGCGGAAATTGGCACGAACGCCGTTCCGGTTCTTTTCAAAACGACCAGGTACCAACTGGTATTGTCTATAAGAATGTACCGAAATACGTTCTGGCTTAATCCTAAAGTAACGTGGTTCCGAACTACTATATCTTTTAGCACGTTCTAATTGCATTTGCGATTCACACTGGAAATCTAAGTGACCAAACAAAAGCTGTGGTATTGGAGAAAATTGAGTGTTTATTTAACAGAGGAATTATTTGTTAATGAAAAATTATTTTTAAATGTTTCGAAAGTTTTATAATAATGTCTACGTCAGCAAAGTTTTATAATAATGTCTATGATTAAATCAACAGTCTTTTTAAAAGATTTATTGTATTATACTATGTATCTGTATAAAATCTGCGGAAATATAAAAATCCTTGAAATCTCCCTTTAACATTCATGACACAACATTCATAGAATATGACAGAGTTAAACGCGGTCCAACATATCTTACTCGAATTCATAGTTGATTATCGAAATACACCATATTACTCCCGAAACATATCGATATTGATCAAATATCTAAACCGTATATACCTGAGCGAGAATACATTAACAAATTGACGAGCGACATGATTATATTTAAAACTTGGAAACATATTTTACAATGTAGCTACTTAATGTATTAAAGATCGATAATGCTATTTACTGATTTTCTTTCGACACTAAATCATTGTTAAGTTTTGGAAAAGTATCTTTGGTAAAGATTTTAATATATTTTATTATAACATAATTATAATATAAGTAATATAATATAATATAATTATAATGTAATTTTATTTACATACGTGCTAATATTAGATAGAATAAAATAATATCAGTATGTTAACAATATAGGATAATTATTTTATGAATCTTTTGGATGTCATGCGAGGACATTCTTTTATTAGAGTAGAATTCAACATTTTCTTATGTCGGAATAGACGATTTTTGTGATGACCAATGCCTTGTGATTCGTGTTCGATAGTGATGCCCCTCCTTCCCTCTTTTTTCCCTTGACTCGTCGGATGTCGCGCCCTTGTTGTGTGTGTACGCGCGTTTCGCTCCCTGAACCTGTGTGTTTTTTCTTATCGAGTATCGTCTTCGACTCGCTTATTTTAAATCCTTCATTGAGTCCGTACCCTTTGCGTTTTCTAAGTTCTCGCGCCACGCGCATCGCGCTCTGCCGATATTATTCTCTACATCTTATTATTACTGAAAGTTAATATTTTTTTTTTTAGAGGAAATAGTCTTGACAAGTACAAAAGATGGTATCATATTTCATCGCGAATCATTGTCTTTTACAAATGATTGCTTCTGGAAATGAAGAAAGAAGACGAAATGGATACTTGTCATTCCTATCACCTGCACTTTATATATGCTTGCGGAAAAATTCATTATATTCTCACTTCCATTTTTCCGGAAACAGTAAAATGGATTAGATTAAGTTAGATGCGACCTACATTGAGATTCATATTTATCTGAAGTTACATTATTACGTGAATGTAGCACGCAATTAAAGTCGCAAAGATCACACTTTTTATCATTTTATACAAACAAATGCAGCAGATCAGACTAAAAGTATAATATAAATATTATAAAAGTATAATAAAGAATTCAAAAATGTAAGATTAATTTAAATCAAAATATTGAATATATACATTTCTTGAAGACATACATATTTATTTAAGAAAGAAATATGTATAAAAAAAGGAGAGAAAGGAAACTATATATAAACATTATATAAGTATTAAGATATAATTATTATGGATTTAATTCATGCTTTGTTTACAATGTACTATATGTAAAATATATTCATGGATATAAATAAA